TTTAATTTTCTTAATTTTTATGCAGAGTAAATAACCTAGTAAAAACTAACATTTGGCAGCTTTCCGAATTGAAATGAAATATGTTTTGGCTTAGTTATGCGTTTTTTAAACTTTGATTAATAAAAAAAATGGTCATAAAAAATATCAATTAAACGAATGCGAATATTTTATAAGTCAATTGCAAACTGCAGGGGTATATAAACTTCGGTTTGCCGAAGTTAGTTTCCTTTGTTGTTTACAATGACTTGCCGCCTCTGGTAAACACATTCAAGTGGTTAGTGATTGTTTATAGTCATTGGAAAAGGGTCATCGAAGTTATTTTAAAGGATAAGTAATTTACAGACAATATTGCTTATTACTTAGGTTTCCACCTTGAAGTGTATTTTTAGAACTAATTAGTCCGATATATGTCTTAACCAAGGGGTCTTGCGATTACCTGTTTGTGTCTGCTTTCTGTGTTGATTTTTATCAAGAAGTTTAAGAACTTAACTGATTAGAGAGAAATCTCCTTATGATAAGAAAAGCTATTGAATCATTGACTTTCAGGCATCCCTGATAAGTTGGCAGACATAATTGTTATCAACATATTTACGTTTCTTATCAAAACCCGCAATAGGCAGAGAAATAAATAGTAGGTGAATACAAAACACTCCTTAATTTCTTAGGTTCAGCTTAAAATTATAGTTTTTTTCGAGTGTATTGTTTATATTGTTCCGTTAATTTTTAAACATTGTAAGGGGTTGATTTTAATGTCTTAAAATTTTTTATAAATAAAAAACTGAATGCAGAAGCGGGTCACCTTAGGAAGAAATTAAAAATCACTGGAGAGAGATTTCGGTGTCCTTTGAGATTTCCACTTAAATTTAGGATAGATTTTCCCGAACTCAATTAGGTTTTCCCATTTAGCTAATTCTAACAATTACAGTTTAAATTCACCGTTTGGAATTTTCTTTATTTTAACGATCGTTTGTATGGCAGCTAAATATTTAATAGTAGTATTTGTACATTATTGTACAAGAAGTTTTAGATTTATATATAATGGTATATATTTATTTAATTTGATGAAAATCTGTTGAAATATGTAAAAGTTATAAATTCTTAAATTTTTACGATCACTCTTAAGGTAGCTATAAATATGTATATATATAGTCCACCGATTTGCCATACTCCGATTTATATACTAGTAAATATATAGATAAATAATTTCATAGTTTCATTCAAATAGCTTCCTCTTGAATGTGTTCCAAAACAAATCTCGCACATCTGTGCATATGATTCCCAACTTGTTTTAACAACCCCGGAACAAAGTGACTTCTGCCGGCCACGTCTAAGAATAGTGTTGTGTTACAAAAGTTGCAACTCATTGTTTACTAGTGTTAAAAGTTATTAACTGATCATACATACTTACTGGTAATAGATACTTATTGATCATACTTACTTACTGGTCATAAATACTTACTGTTCAGATTTAATTACTGATCATAGTTAATTACTGGTCATAGCTAATTACTGATCATAATTGTATAAATCGTCCGATTGTTCCTATGTCAGCTATATATATGTACATATATAGTCCACCGATTTGCCATGCTCCAACTTATATACTAGTAAAATTATATAGATAAATAACTTCATAGTTACATTCAAATAGCTTCCTGTTAAATTTGTTCCAAAACACATCTCGCATATCTGTGCTTATGATTCTCAACTTGTTCTAATATCCCCGGAACGAAGTGACTTCTGCCGGCCAAGTCTTAGAAATGTGTTGTGTTACAAAAGTTGCAAGTCATTGTTTACTAGTGTTCAAAGTTAGTAACTGATCATACATACTTATTGGTAATAGATACTTATTGATCATACTTACTTACTGGTCATAGATACTTACTGTTCAGAGTTATTTACTGATCAAAGTTAATCACTGGTCATAGATGCCTACTTTTCAGATTTAATTACTGATCATAGTTAATTACTGGTCATAACTAATTACTGATCATAGTTCTATAAATCGTCCGATTGTTCCTATGTCAGCTATATATATGTACATATATAGTCCACCAATTTGCCATGCTCCAACTTATATACTAGTAAAATTATATAAATGAATAACTTTATAGTTTCATTCAAATAGCTTCCTGTTAAAGTTGTTCCAAAACACATCTCGCATATCTGTGCTTATGATTCTCAACTTGTTCTAACATCCCCGGAACGAAGTGACTTCTGCCGGCCAAGTCTTAGAAATGTGTTGTGTTACAAAAGTTGCAAGTCATTGTTTACTAGTGTTAAAAGTTAGTAACTGATCATACATACTTATTGGTAATAGATACTTATTGATCATACTTACTTACTGGTCATAGATACTTACTGTTCAGAGTTATTTACTGATCAAAGTTAATCACTGGTCATAGATGCCTACTTTTCAGATTTAATTACTGATCATAGTTAATTACTGGTCATAACTATTTACTGATCATAGTTTTATAAATCGTCCGATTGTTCCTATGTCAGCTATATATATGTACATATATAGTCCACCAATTTGCCATGCTCCAACTTATATACTAGTAAAATTATATAGATGAATAACTTTATAGTTTCATTCAAATAGCTTCCTGTTAAAGTTGTTCCAAAACACATCTCGCATATCTGTGCTTATGATTCTCAACTTGTTCTAACATCCCCGGAACGAAGTGACTTCTGCCGGCCAAGTCTTAGAAATGTGTTGTGTTACAAAAGTTGCAAGTCATTGTTTACTAGTGTTCAAAGTTAGTAACTGATCATACATACTTATTGGTAATAGATACTTATTGATCATACTTACTTACTGGTCATAGATACTTACTGTTCAGAGTTATTTACTGATCAAAGTTAATCACTGGTCATAGATGCCTACTTTTCAGATTTAATTACTGATCATAGTTAATTACTGGTCATAACTAATTACTGATCATAGTTCTATAAATCGTCCGATTGTTCCTATGTCAGCTATATATATGTACATATATAGTCCACCGATTTGGCATGCTCCAACTTATATACTAGTAAAATTATATAGATAAATAACTTCATAGTTTCATTCAAAAAGCTGTCTCTTGAATTTGTTCCAAAACAAATCTCGCACATCTGTGTTTATGATTCTCAACTAGTTCTAACATCCCCGGAACGAAGTGACTTCTGCCGGCCAAGTCTCAGGAATGTGTTGTGATACAAAAGTTGCAAGTCATTGTTTACTAGTGTTAAAAGTTAGTAACTGATAATAGATACTTATTGATCATACTTACTAACTGGTCATAGATACTTACTGTTCAGAGTTAATTACTGATCAAAGTTAATCACTGGTCATAAATACTTACTGTTCAGAGTTAATTACTGATCATAGTTATTTACTAATCATACGTACTTACTGGTCATAGGTAGTTACTGAACAAAGTTACTAAATGTTCTTTTATACTTACTGATCATAGTTACTTACTTACACAAAGTTTATCTCAATGAAACGTTGTGAAAAACTAGAAATTAACTCTAACCTTTCATATACATTTCTCTCTCCCGAATGCACTTACCTATTTAGATTTGAATCTCTTACAATTTCAAATTAAATATGTTACAAAATATACTGTACTAAGGGAGCAGTGTAATTATTTGACTGAACAAATGTAATACCAAGATAACAATTATATTTAATTATACCATTACATTTATATACATTTGGGATTTCCACAACTAATCATTTCCATCTTTACATTTGTATTTTCCACAGCCACTCAACGACGAAAAGAGGGAAATCCCAACGAAAGCTCAGATTTTGGCGCGAAAACTCTACTTGGGATTGGGGATTCAACAATTGTAAACAAACGCTTGCGCGGATTGCTCCTTTGGCTCTTTCACGCGGTAGCGTCTCGTCCTTCGACATTTTGGGAGCTTCGTCGTGTTGCCACGCTACCAACAACCGAGTGGCAGGCCGAGTTTTCCTTGGGAAAACGGAAAAACTCTGAAGCTCTGAAACAACTACTGAAAACTGGCTGGTAAGCAAATCAGGAACTCGCAGACGCTCGTGGCAAACGGTTGTGCTTTGTTGTGGCTACCAAAAAAAAAAGAAAAGAAATCCAGAAGGGGACTCTTTTGGCCAAAATATATATATACAAATATATATATAAGTATAAACAGGGAAGAAAAAGGGGGGCACTGCCGTTAACGCACACGCAACCAAAGCCATAAAGGGGCTAAACATATAAATTTGTGTAGTAAAAGTGAAGAAAGCGAAAGAATCAAAGTGGAATAATAGCAAGCGGATGTGTTGGAGCAATTTTCTGTGTGTGTTCGACAAGTGTGTTTCTGTGTGTGTCTCTCTCTCTGTTGCTGTTGCTGTTGCTGTTTGTGTTGCCAATGAAAATGCAAATTGTTGGTAACAAATATTGGTAAAATGCGGAGGCCGTAGGAATTTGTGTGCAATGCGAGTGCGAAGCCAAGTATGCAATCCCAATCCCAATCCCAAGCCCCAGTATCCCCGAACCGAATCAATAATAATACAATAATAACCGACCGATATTACATGGATAATGGCAGCATAAACCAGTTAACAGCCGCAAGTGTCTTTGTTTAGTTTCCCCGAACCCGTGCATTAAAAGCCCACCCCCCATGATCTCCGCCTGATTCCGGAGCAGAGATTCGACGCGGAGGAGAGATTCGCCAATCCAAGGATGTCGCAGCCCCGCGCTGGCCGTGGCGGTCGTGGCGGCGGCGCTGGTGGCGCCGGCGTTGGCCGTAAAACCCCCTCCTCGCTGACCGGTCCGCCGGATGACTCGGCCACGCCCAGCGAACGTGCAACGCCCGCCAGCAAGGCCGATTCCGATCCCAAGGACGACAGCTCTAGCAATGGCGACAAGAAGGACATGGATGCATTTCCCGCCCCAAAGCCGCCCAGTGCCGGTGCCTCCATCCGGGATACGGCCAACAAAGTGCTCGGTCTGGCCATGAAAAGTGAGTGGACACCCATCGAGGCGGAGCTAAAGAAGCTGGAGAAGTATGTGGCCAATGTGGGCGAGGACGGTAACCACATACCGCTGGCCGGAGTCCATGATATGGTAAGTACTGTACTGTATGCCGGTTTATTGCGGGGTAAAACGGGGTAAAGTATACAAAAATTTGTAAAATCAATTGCTAAGGAGAGAGAGAGCGGGATTCAGTATCGAAATAAGTGCAGGAACAGGTATATTTCACTGAGAGAAAGGGGGAAATTTTATTCTAAAATTTACTGAGTAAACATTACCGTAAATGAACTAAGTGAAACTAATAACTAAATACTTCTTAAATCATTTCAAGACTACAAGAAATTAAATAAGTTATATTTTGAGAGTAATTCGAAATTTATTAATATACTTTTTATTTCTGTGAGCTTTATTTTGCTCTACCAACAGCTCTTTTCTTTAATATATAGTCAATATTTTCGGAATATACAAGTTTCTTGGGAGATTATAATATGATTTCATTACTTTTTAAATAATTATAATGATGAAGGTCCATTTATTTATTATTTTGGATACTTTCACTATAAACTTATATGTATTTAATGCCTCCATATTCATTTTTATACAACAATTTCATATTTTAAATAGTTTTAGTATAGAGAACAGTATTATCACTTCGTCAGGAAGTGGCTTATACTCTTCAGTTAACTTTCCCTCACATTTCTTTAACAATTTTTAACCAACCTTTACTAGAGTTCTGTTAGGTTTTAATGTATTTTTCAAGATGCCAAGATTCTTTTCTTATTATTATATGATTTAATAATTTTTAAATACTAAACCATAATTGATTCAAGTGTAGTTGTCGGATGTACAAACGTCGCCCTTATCAACGTCGGCGGCATTTTCCGTTTTCTGGTTGTTTACCAGCCAAAATAACGACACAGAGCCGCGCACAGGAACTGGTGGCCAGAAACAGAGGCAGAATTCAGAGCTCAGAACTCAGAGCACAGAAAATAAAAGTCAGAAAGCTGAAAACAGAAAACAGTAGCAGAAAACGGCGAGCGAGCTGAGAATGTTATTTGATAGCGCGGCCCAAATGTTTGGCTGCCAAGGCGATGGCTCTTCCGCTTGGCTCGAAGGACTGCCGGGAGTCCTGCCACAAGTTGCGCTGACTACCAGCCGACCGATAAACTCATAAAACATCGAAGAATTGAAGCGCTTCGATTTCAATTTACCATAAACGGTATGAAACGGAGAAGTCGTTGACATAAAATTAGAGTTGGGACGTCGACGGAGGTCCCGCTAATGAAATGCGGGGAGACCAAAAAAGAGAAAAATAAAGGGTTGATGGGGTTTGGGACTTACCTTGGATCCCAACTTTTGTCATAACTTCCAGGCTGTGTCTGTTCTAGCCAGACTAGACTGGGCCCGAGACGATATTTGCATAAATATAGGGCCCAGACCAGCAGAGTTGAGCTATTTTTGCTTCAGTTATTTCTCCTTTTTTTTTTGGTTCTTGATAACTTTGCTCTTGATTTTGTTTTAATTGTAGGAGAAGGAGCTAGGTAATAAGAGGGTTAACTTATTTGCAATAAAGGCTAATGCTAACCTTGATAATAATTGATTCTGGTACAGAGTCAATGGGGTTAGGAAGCTAATGAAATGGATTTGCTTATTAAATTCATTTTAGTTTGGTTATAAATTCCCCTCCTTCATTTAATTTAAATACTTGTACAAGGCAGCATTTAATTACATATATTATTTAAATAATATATAGTATAATTTGCCTTATCAATAAGGTTCCTTTGCATATAATATAATGTATAATTATTTCCATTGATATAGCATTCATCAACGGAATTATTTTCTTATCAATGAATCATACTGCACAATTAAGAAACCATGTAACCATTAATAAAATGTATTAAATTTATTGACATTACTTTATACCATTTCAAAAAGGAAACCCAAATTACAGAAACCAAATAGCAATACATATTATAAGCAACCAAAGAAGCTTAGCTTTAGAAAATACAGAAAACTCTCAAAAATAATCCATTAATCAGCTTTTCTATCAAACTTCTCCACCAAAAACTTAGTTTAATAATACATTTAATTCAATATATAACCCCAACCATTTCCTCCTACAGAATACCGGCATGACGCCTCTGATGTACGCCACGAAGGACAATAAGACGGCCATAATGGATCGCATGATTGAGCTGGGCGCCGACGTGGGAGCCCGTAATAATGTAAGTCTTGGACCTGGGTTTATTCTGGGAATAATTTAAAGCTGCTTCAACTGGCCACCTGCCTGGTGGCCAAATATAGAAAACAAGCCCAGCTGTTTGAAGTTAACTACTGTGGCGGCAAACAAAAGCCGCTAAAATTGTGTCAAATCAATAAAAACCGCATAATTAAATCTTGAGTGTCGGTGGGTGAACCCGTACATACACCCACGTCTACGCAGGATTTGCACGCACTTAATACTTGAATACTTCAATATTGCCGGCCCTCAATGGGTCAACCGAAACGAGCTTGGCCAACGGGCTCTAGAGGGCCAAGAAAAAAATGGGAAAGAAAAACCTCAGCACGCGAAAACCCAAAGGGGAATTTCCTAAGGGTCTCTCTGGGAATTGAAAGTGTGGATTTTAGTTTGTTTTTATAACTGAAAGTTGAAAGAAATTTAATTTGGGAAGCTTTGGAATACATTTTTAGCCAAATAATTAATTCATATATTACAAATTTTGGGCAGTTTTTGTGAAGAAGGAGGAAGGCCAGCAACTTCCATTTGCATCTTTTAATATGTAATAACAAAAGAAGGTTGCTGAATAATAGTTATACTTATCTGTTGGTATCTTTGTTTATTAATTTCTTAGTTTATTTTGTTCTATATTTAATACCTTTAAGCCTTCAATTTATAACCACCGTCGAAAGCAGGTTAACAAGCGAAGATGAAAGGTCAAAGCTGATGTTTATCCTGATTTCTAAGCCCATTTGCCATCGTGATTATTGCCAATTCTCGTTTCGATGTCAGCGTTAGCAAAGGCAAATGAAAAGAGCAACCAGGCGTTTGGGCCATTAGGCCAAGTGACCAACAATTGGCCGAATTCGTTGGCCAGCGTTTTGCATGCCGCAATTACTTGGCACATTTCATTTTGGGCCTCATCGGGCTTGGGCTTTTTGGCTGACCATTCACATGTCCTTACGCCTACAAACAATATTTCTGTGGCGATAAAAATCCTTGACCTAATTACAAAATAATTGTTTCCAAAAGCCAGCTCGGCTCAGACATGGCGAATTGAATTACCAAACAAACATAGAAAAGTTTAATTTTCTTTGGGAAATCCCCTTCTCATTTGGCTTAAAGAGTGTGTGTTTTGGGGGGAAATGTTAAAGGTAAATTTAAACATGAAGTCAAATAAAACATGAACAAGTTGGGAAATACAAGAAACTAATCATGAAAATAACAAGACAGGGAATTTTAGGGAGGTGGTATTAAATGTTTCATCTTTTGTTATTTCTATATCATTATTTGAAAGTTTCTTTAGTCAAATCATATATATTCTTGATCAGCATCAACAGGTGAATCGATTTAACTATGTCCAGCAGAAAATAAAATTTTTGACTATTTTTTCGATTTTTGCAAAAAGTGATAAAGGGTTACATCGTTAAAATTGTCAAAATTTGTCAAAAATTGATTTTTTTTTTTTTTAATTTAAGTTGAGTAAATTTTAAGTTGAGTATGCGCATTTATTAACCTAACAAAACTAGCATAGAACAGTTTTCCAAATCAAAATTAATGTATTTTTGGCTTAGTTATGATATTTTTAAACTTTGATTGTCGAAAAATGTTCATATAAAATATAGGTGACTAACTTACTTAATCTGTACCTTCATGGTAATATTTATGTTTCACACACGTTTTCTAATGTTCAATTACATCATTTAGTTTTCATTAACTTAAATGCTGCTCCTCTTTATTAAAATAATTACATTTCAAGAAGCTTATCATTAGGCTTTACCTCATCTGGATCATTATTCTTATTTTGAGTCAAATGTCACGTCGTGACCAACTCAGATAATTTCACTATACAGACCGTGCCCCTTGGCCTTAATGAATTAAAATAAAAACTCTTGGCTTTTGTGAGGGGGAAATGTTTATTGCATTTACAATTCGCGAGTTATCTAACTGTCGGGAAAAGGGCCTAAGTAATACCCACTCAACACGACACATATTATGGCCATTATAAAGGATATACGTGCATGATGTAATGACGCGGCTAATTAACATTTTTAACTTTTCAAGCTTCAAGGATAAATTTTTTTTTAGAGGCGTGTTTTTAGCAACACCTCCTTTGCAACTTAAAAGCCAATTAATCAAGCACATGACTTCGATGTACGCCCAAAGCCTGGCCCAAACTCCATTTGACCTTTTGCAGGTGGCCAAAAACTAAACCCAAACCCAAACCCAGAGACCTCGGACGTCGGGCTGTGACTTCCGCTACATTTTATGGCCCTGTAATAGTAGTGGTGGCGTCATTAATATGCAATTTTAATTAAATTCAAGCGGTGTACTTCACGCAGTGACCTCTCCTCCCTACATATGAGTGGGGCGATGACAGCGTGAAATAAAATGAAATTCATTTGTCAAGAGCTCTTAGAGTGCGTGAGAAATCTATTCTCCCCCACCAAAAATTACTTAGGGAAGAGAAACAATTAATTAACTCCATTAGTGCACATGCAAGGATGTGGAGTAATCCAAAATGAGCTGCGGTAATGAGGACTTGCAATTATTCTAGAGCACTTTCCTCCACTCCCTCCCCACCATCAGGAAGGTGTGTGACATCGGCCCAAAATGACTTCATCAAGGTGCCAAGAAATCCACGTGCATGGCACACACAATTCACACACTCTCCTCCTCGAGTGTGTATCTCTCTTCCCGTCTATAAACACTATAGTAAACACCCGCAAAGAAACTGGGTCGCCCCACCTCTTGGTTTTTACTAAGGCAAAGGCAAAAATGTGCTGGAAAATTTGCGCTTCCGTTTTGGTTTTGTTTCCGGCTTTCCCCTGCCCGTACACTCTCCTTACCAACAAACACAGCACGCGGCTCGAAGTCGAGTTGCGCTCAAAAGTATGCAAAACAGCGCGTGAAATATTATCTGTCTACCTTGGGGGCCCCTTCTTGAGCCAGTCCACTTTGGCCCAGAGTTTACTTTGGCTTTTCGTTCGGGCCAACGTCTTGGATTGGCTTTCTGGACATGTGTCAAAGCCGTCGACTCGAAACGGCGGGCTGTATGCAAATTAGCAGGAGTTGCGGCCAGAAATAGGCGCAAATAAACCATAGAAAAACCCACGAAATTCGCACGAAACGAAGCCCACACACACTTACTAAATGGGGGAAAATCCCCAGGGTATTACGTGGGTCTTTAAAAATTATGGAATGAAATTCTCTTTAAGATTCTTTAAGATTTTCTTTGATTGCTTTGATTACTAAACTGACATCTTATATTAGATTTAAACTCAATGTTAAATTAATATATGTTATGCCTTAAATTAGCTTAAATTATAAAAAAGATTGTTAATTAAACCTTGGAGAGTGAAAGGTATACTTTTTAAAAAACTTATAATTAATTAAAATGGTAAATAGATAAAGGACATTACACTACAGAATTCTTATTTTAAAAGGTTTACAATTATTGAGGTATTTCTCAGGCTTGCCTATTATACTTTATTTAAATCAAAAGCGCTATACTTTATAATTTATAAATAAAAAGACTGAACTATAATGTTTTACAGCAGTACATTAGGGAAATGGTTAGGTCATTTTAAATCCTTCTGAGGCTTAACAATAATAATTTATTTCACATTAACGAGAAGTTAGTACCTTTTCAAAGGCAAGTCCATAAGACTGTTTGTGGAAAGTATTTGAAAATATAATATTTAGAAAAATAAGTAATTAATATCGAGGCTTTCTAAATTGTAATGAATTATTATATTTTCTCTTAGTATTCAATTCTCATTATAATTTCTATATAAATTTAAAGAATTCCAAGGCTTAATCATAGCCTTATGCGACTGTACACCATTTTCCACATACTTACCATTTTCCTGAACCAACCTGATGACAGGGCAAAAAGGACCTCTCCTTTTTATCCAGTTACTAGCATATATACATCGTATACATGTATACGAAACCAGTTCACTTCCGTTTTTGGCTAAAAACGATGGGGATTAGTTATAAATTAAGCCCATGGGCCGGGCTGGGCACACGTGGCGTATGTGTAACACGTGCGTTATGGCTTATTATATAAGGCAATAATATCGCCGCATGCTCCAATTCACATGTGAGTCACTTGTAGGGATTTTCGAAACTTAACACTCCATGTTAGGACGTTATCTTAAAGCACTTTTCGTTTCGTTTCCGTTACGTTTCGGTGATTTGTTCAGGGTTACATTTTCCACTACTACACATATATTTTTGGTTCTTTTTTCTTTGGGAGCATTTGATGCAGTTTTTGCATGTGAGGCTCTTGGCCATTAAGAGGGTTCCGTAAGTGAAGTCCGCATGCAAGATTGTGGCTTAAGTAATCAAGCGGCGCGGCCAAAAAGCCACACCTCACATGCAAATCCCACTTTGACTTTGACCCATTGAACTGACCCAGTGTGTGGCTCAGTGTGAGGGCGTGGGTTTCCTGCCAATGAATTGCAATTGATTTCTTCCATTTCTCTTCTCTCTCTCTACTTGCAGGATAATTATAATGTGCTACACATTGCGGCAATGTATTCGCGTGAGGATGTCGTCAAATTGTTGCTAACAAAACGCGGCGTGGATCCCTTCTCCACCGGTGGCGTGAGTATTCCAATGGTTCCTTATTATATTGTGTATTTCGAGGTGGGAACAATTGCTCTAATAGTTCTGCAAGTCCTGAGTTTCAAATCTCTCCAGTTTCAGTTCTGAGGCCGCTATCAGCAAGATTTCTGGCCAATTTGTGGTCATTAGACGCATACTTCAGGTGGCTTAAAATATAAAACTAAAGGTCAGAGTCAAGCAAGGAGATGCAACTTTGTGGCTCGCATGTTGCATGTGACTTTGGCGGGCACCGGCAATTAACTGGCGACAAGGTAAGATGTAATGTCTAGGCCCTTTAAAGGCACTGTTGCCCACTGCCACTGCACTTTAACCAAGCTCCTCTCGACCCTTTCAAGGTAACAAGTTAATAGGAGGTTCTAGTGTAGTGGTTGCCAAGAAGTTTGAAATTTACTTGGAATTTTCCATCTTCGATTTTAATTTAGATTATATTTGAGGATGAAAGAGGAAGATTCGAGGATATATAGTATTTTTATCTTACCCAATAAATAGTATCTTAAAGTTTGGATATTGATTCATATCCATAACCATAGTAAAGGTTTGCACTTTATTAAAACTTAGATAATTACCTTTGAATCCCTTTGAAAGAACTGTTGATAAATACACCTTTAGACAAGATTTTATAACTTATTTTAGATTAACAGAAATGACCAAGATTTTCAAGTTGCAATATATTTGCAAGAAACCAAATACTGAATAAATGAGGTTTATTATATCCTTTTTATATTACTATTATGCTTTAAAGATTTCGAAATCCTAATAGTTTTAATGCTAAAATTTTTCAAATTAATAAGTTCTCTCTTAGGAAACTGATGGCACTGATGGCTGATCTTTGGTAAAAGAATTTATTAACTTAAATATGTTATTAAACTTAGGAGAAGTTGCCTAGAAGTATTAATTTTGATAAAAAACATTGAGGCATTCGAATACCTAAAAGTCCTATGGGAACCCATAATCTGCCTAAAATAATCGTATTTAGGATAATCACTATGTCGAGTCCTTTGCAGGCATTATTTCGTTTCATTTCTTCACTTTTTCGTTTTTCATGTTGCCATTAATTTGGTTTTCTTTATTCTTCCTCCGCCGCAATGGCTTCGAGACCTGGTGACTTAGGGGCGTGAGCGTTTTGGCCAAATTACTGATGGTTACAGAAGAGAGCTCGGCGGGGCGGGTGGAAGCGAGACAGCCAGATGCCAAAAAACTTTTGTTTTAGCAACAGCCAACTTGGAAGTGTTCCATTGGCGTGTGTGGTGTGGGAGTGTGTGCGTGGCTAAGGGACTCCACATCCAATGGCACTCGCACCTCCACATCCTCATCCAACACCTGGCCTATGTTGGCTACACCTGCTGCTGCTCCACACCCCGCGGGTGGGTTACCTCTCGCTCTCGCCCGCTGCGGGAGTCCTTTATATGGTTCTTTTTTTCCTACTTTTGGGGGGCTGTCAATCTGTGATATGAGCGAGAGAGAGGAGAAAAGAAAAATGACACGAAATGTGCTTATAAACGCAAAAACGAGCCACTTGCCTATTCAGTAGCAAATGGGATTTTGAAGCGAATGGGAACAACCAGTTTGCTGGCTTTCAGGTGCGACATTAGCCTAAGGTGTCAAGAACCACACAGAAAACTGTGATCCCAGCTAAAAAAGGTGTATACCATCTTAATTATAGTAAAGATATATCTAATTAAAATCTCTATATTTTCAGTCGCGTTCGCAGACTGCGGTCCATTTGGTGTCGAGTCGGCAAACTGGAACTGCCACCAATATCCTGCGAGCTCTTCTTGCGGCTGCTGGCAAGGATATTCGCTTAAAAGCGGACGGCGTAAGTGTGACCATGTGTGTTTGCTAGTGTGCCAGTGTGGCTGTGTGTGTGTATGATATGGTATGAGTGTGTCTGTTTGCTGGAGAGCCACAAGTGTTGCCAAACCAATTGATGCACGTTATCTCCTTGGGCCATGTACAAGTTCGCTATCCGAAAAGTGAGCCCCTTTGAAGTG